AGATTGAAGTAAATAATAGAGAAAAAAGGTCACTGTACTTTTAAAAATCATTTCTCAAAAATTAAATCAATATTCAAGTTCTGCCCATTTCAACATTTTCTTTATTCAATTTTTCTTTCTTTCCCCCTTCATGACTCTAATCTAAATCTTACTCAACCTTCCTTCAAAAGTGCCTAATTTCTTCTCTACCTCCACTGTGATATCATTTAATATACTATATATGATATGATCAGATTAATCTACAAAAGATGTCATTTTATTCATGATTTAAGACTATACAGTTTATCCAGATTATCTATCAATTCTCCACAGACTTCCCTGGGCTGGCATTAAATGCCCTATGTCAAATGGTTCCTCCAAACATCTGTCTCAACGAAATCTATCCAACTGGCTTCAGTCAATCATGTACATTACTCTAATCTCACTTACTTCAGCACCTGTAGACTGCCAGTACTTTCCTTATACAAGCTGCTAAAGCATAAAAAGTCATCCCCTAGGACTAACCAGTCATACTGCCTGTTCCTTAAAATTTTCTGCTTCTTTAAACACATTAAACTAGGTACTTAACAATATTAATAACCACAATGTCACCCATATGGTCATGTGTGTATGTAATACATTTCTAAATTTTTAATTATCATCATCTACTATAACATGAGACCTTTACTAAAAAAAAATAACAAATTACTTAATAAAATAACAAAAAATGTTTTAAATGGAAGGAAAAATAAACTATGGCTGAGTCACTATAGTCACATGTATGAAGACCAAACCGAAATTAATAATAAAAAGTACATTTGCAATTAGTGATTTCTTGATTAGTCATTATTAATGAGTACTATTTACAAAAAAAAATTGAGTATAAACCTATAAAGACTAACAAACCAGTCTCTACCTTGGTGATCACGTCTCTTAACCCCACTACCCTGCAGTACTAGCCGCTCCTATACTTGTTTTTGTGGCATTTTGTACATATTCCTATGACAGCACTTGCTTCAACAAGACTCTAAGGGCAATGCTTCCTTCTTGAACTCCTGGTAATCACTGTAGGATTAATTTACTTAAAGTTTTATTGACTGTGTGATCAAATGAATATGATAATTCTAAGCATTTTAATAGGGCATAACTCAAAAGGACAGGAACAGCAGCAATTTTATTTTATTCAATAAAACTTCCTACTTTCTAAAGGGGGCAGTCAAAAAGCCACATTCATTGTGCATCTCTCTTTTTTTTTTTAAGATTTTATTTATTTATTTGAGAGAGAGAATGAGAGACAGAGAGCATGAGAGGGAGGAGGGTCAGAGGGAGAAGCAGACTCCCTGCCGAGCAGGGAGCCCGATGTGGGACTCGATCCCGGGACTCCAGGATCATGACCTGAGCCGAAGGCAGTCGCTTAACCAACTGAGCTACCCAGGCGCCCCCTACACTGTACATTTAATGTCATCCAAGTTACAGTGATTATATTCAAAAGCTCTTGATTCAAGATTCTGAGATAGCTTGGGAGATGAAAAAAGCCATTTGTATGTAATATAAAATCTTCATTACAGTGATCATCAGATCAGAATTCAAGAGTGATTTTTTTTTAATGCTGGTATCTGATTGTATCTTTAAAAAAGTTGATATCTAAATGGACATGCCTGAGAAAGAAGAAATCTATATTTTCTAATATAATATAGAAGAAATAAATTTATTTTACACTAACACTTTTGTTTCCTATTATTAAGCAGGGGGAATACTCTTAAAAGAACTCTATCACTTTCCTTGTATCTAGGATGCTTTTGCCCTATCATCCTAAGCTTTGGTGTATAAGGAGATTTTTCAAAAGAAATGTTGTCTTTGAGGCTATTTTGCATGTAAAGATTTTTCGTGTAAGGGTTAAATGTAAAGAACATGGTAGTGGCAAAAAGACAAGTGGATATACACACTTTTTCTGTTCTACAAACTCCGCCTTCCTATTTACATTGGCAGAACTGCACAAGGCCATTACTCTTTATTGAGATCTCCCCAAAGTAGATAGCAAACTTGCTCTCCCACAGCAAGACACAGTATCTGAGTAAAATTACCAATTAAAATAGAGCATTATAAAAAAGCACCCTAGGAAAAAATAACACTTATTTCTAAATATAAAAGAAAATCCTAAGAATAAAGAAACCCAGAAAGAATGCTTGGCAAGAAATGAGTTAGTTTCAAAAACTGTGTGAGAGACACAGGAATTGTTTTCCTGACCATGGCTTATAACAACCAGAAGTATGTTTTCCTCTAGTGGATGGCATGAATCTCACAAACTTGGAAAGAATGGTATTAGCAGCAAACCTTATTGATCTGATCAAGAAGGCTTTAAACTAAGACTCAAGGTGGAACAGAAAAAGGTAATTCCAGAAAATGGATTATTCCAGAGGACAACAGGTTTGAAATGAAAATAAGACAGAGGGACAAAAATGTCCGGAAATTATTTTGTGAAAATCATGGCTTGGAATAATACTTAGGCCTAGGATATATGGCTATACCAAATAAAACTAAGAAACAGTAGATGTGTTAAGGTCTCAAAATGCACTTTTTTTTTTTTTTTTTAGTCCTTACATAACTCTGGTGAATGACTGTAAGAATTGCCACAGATGTTCATGTAAGGAGTGCCCTGAATGGGGGAAGCTGGCCTATGGGGCAAGTGTGGAATATATTCCACCCCACATGCAATTGGCCGATAGGTATCATTATCTTCAATTTACAGGGTAGGAACCTAGGCTTGGGTATGTTCAGAAACCAGCTCAAGGGTATCTAGCTAAAAAATTATGAGGCTAGACTGGCTAGAATTGGAAGCCAAGTATGTCTGGAATTCATACTTTTAGAAAAACATAGGGAAAATTATACATACATAGGCATACATATATAATTTATTCTAAAGTAGGAAAGTAGAACAAGGTAGAAAAAGACTAGTTTTATGATAATACAACTGAGTGGATTACTGATGGTTGATAAATCTTTCTCCAAGCAAATTTATCTAATTTGTCCACAAGGAACAACACAGCGACTGGGAAATGTGTGTCATTGCATATCAGGGAGTTATATACTAGTTTTATGATCCAGAAATATAAAGATAGGAATTTATAGGAGATGCTAATGTAGGAGAGGAAAAATCTAGAAAGAAGAGAAACTGCCATTGGAAAATAGTGTAGTGATCGTAGCGAAACACAATACAGAAAGTATTAGTAATGAGTACAAGATGTAGATGAGAAGGAAGGGCTTCAATTAGCTGGATCCCTCTTAGGAGGAAGTCTAATTCCACTAAAAATGTATTTGGGGGGAAGACTCTACTGGTAACTTCTTTTCTGCTAAATTTGCCTTAGAGAGAAGGTGGAGCCATTGGGAATGAAAGTTTTGAGGAACGTGAGAGCAAAGAAAGGCAACGATGAGCAGAGCTGGGAAAATTCTGCAGACCAAAAAACAGGCAGCTCTTCAGTTTACAGGGAGCAATGGGCCATTACCCTGATACTCTAAGAAAATATACCAGAAGAAGAAAGTGAGAAACCAAAGATGAAATCTTGACTCTATCATTGCAAATAAAGCTATAACCAGAAAAAAGGAAAAGACACCTAATGAAAACAATTTAATTTTATAAATAACAATTTGGTATTCAGTTCTTAGGTATTTCAAAATATAGATAATACAAGATGAATGTGAATGACTAGATCAAGTGGTAAGGACTTAGAAAATGAGTTGATGTGTCTAAAGTCAAGAATGCTCTAAGAAGCTCCAAATATGAAAGATCTAAAAATGTTAGCTGTGTTCAGTTAAAAAAAAAAAAAGTCCACCAGCTGAGGGAGAAAGAACTGCTAATCTTTCTTGTTTATATTTTCTCTATCAGAGAAAACGATCATCAAATTAGAACAAATAGAACAATTTTGATACGGATTTAGGATTTACTCAGATTTCCTTAGGAACTGAAGTAAAAGAGGGATAAAAAGAAAGATCGTAGTGATTATCAAATACCAGGATGTATTCACTAGAAAAGAGTTTTGTTTTGTTTTGTTTTGTTGCTTATTAGATAAGGACAAGAATACTGGACCAACAATGTATCTTAATTTGAATGATATATCTTACATAGCCTTTTATTATAACTTCTTGAACAAGGTAGAAAAAGACTAGTTTTATGATAATACAACTGAGGGGATTACTGATGGTTGATCAATCTTTCTGCAAGCAAATTTTGTCCTTTTTACTGTGGACACTCAAAATGCTATTCTGTGATTTCACTAAGGAAGTGGAAAACAACACTTTACAAATCTGTGGATAATACAAAGTTTTGAGGAAATCAAATAACTCTTTGAAAATGTTTTGTTATGCAGAGACAGTCACCTCAGGTAATATATTATGTATCAGGAAACAATGTAAAGACCTACATTTAAATTTCAAAAACATCATTTGCACCAACAAAGGATAACAGGGCTTAACGATGGTTCATTTGAAAAGATCTATTTTCACAAAACCCATAATCTTCAGCTACCTTAGGAAAACACTGTTGATTGTTTCTGCTCATTTACTAAAATACTTCTCTTCTTCAGATACATTAAATTCACTCTTAAAACATCCTCTCTCTATACTTTGAAACCTTTTGATTAAAAATAAGTAAGACTTCTAGCTCCTTAGGAAACAAGACAAAGAATTATGTAGCACAGGTAAGTGTGAGCACATCTTAAATAAGTTTCTTTCATAACAAGAATACAATGTAATTTCTATAGCACATCTTCTGGTGAAGGATTTCAGAAGACTCAAAGGACGGCACTTTAAAACGTCTCCTGTCCCAGTAGAAAATGTAAAAGTTAATTCCAAACATTTGTGAATAGTTCGGAACAATTCCATGTAGAGCACAATTATCTTTCATATGGGAAAATATAATCTGGAATTTATGCAAAATGATTAAAAATTTACACCAACATATCATAATAACAAGGTCTTCACAGAAACCACAAAAATAAAAAAAAGGCACCAATTAAATTTCTCACCTGCCTAATACCCAACCGGTATGCAACAATCCGATCTACTGCATCGGGATTCATTTGTGTCCACTGTAGACTGTAAGAATAAACACGATGTCTGTTCTGCCACACAGGATTGTAGGTATCGTAATAGAACTCTGGAGCATAGGCTTTTCCTAAAAATAGAAAGAGTGCTTAAATTTCAATGATGACATATGACAGTCAAACATGATTATTCTTTTTTGGCCCTTTTACCACAGTCTACCATGTGTTCCATGAGTAATTCTTCTATTTGAAAACTCATTATTAAAATCTAACCAATTTTCTGGAGAATTTTAAGAATAGACGTAAGAAGATTTTCTGGTTGATTAGATGAACAGTGTGAGAGGAAAAGAATCAAGCTCGACTACAAGTATTTTGGTCTAAGGAACTGAAAGAATGGAGTTTCCATCAACTGAGATGATAAACTAGGGGAGGGTCAAATTTTGGGGAAAAACTTCAGAGAGTTATTTTTTAATAGTCTGAATGATCTAAATGGAGACATCAACTGGGATATACTAGTCTAGAATTCCAGAGAGGCCAGAATTAAAGCTATAATCTTGTTAACCGTAAGCATATAGATAGATTTTAAGTTTAAAGCCATGAGACTGAAGAAATCACCAAGGGACTGTGAGTAGATAGAGAAGAGTAAGGCCTGTGGCACCTGGGTGGCTCAGTCAGTTAAGAGTCTGCCTTCGGCTCAGGTCATGATCTCAGGGTCCTGGGATCAAGCCCTGAGGTGGGCTCCCTGCCCAGTGGGGAGTCTGCTTCTCCCTCTCCCTCTGACCTTCTTCCTGCTCTTGCTCTCTCTCTCTTATTTGAGAGGGAAAGAATGAGAGAGAGAGCATTAGAAGGGGGAAGGTCAGAGGGAGAAGCAGACTCCCTGATGAGCAGGGAGCCCGATGCAGGACTCGATCCTGGGATTCCAGGATCATGACCTGAGCCGAAGGCAGTTGCTTAACCAACTGAGCCATCCAGGTGCCCAAATAAATAAATTCTTAAAAAAAAAAATGCTAAAGCTTGACCACTGGGGCAATCCAGGGTTAAGAGAGATGAGAGCAGATAACAACCCCAACAAAGCCTAAGATGAAACAGACCAGTGAATGGGAGGAAAATAAAAGTTGTGGCATCCTAGAAGTCAAAAGTAGTGTATCAGCAAGTGAATGATCAATTCTGTCAAAAAACCAAAATCAACAAAAATGAAAATTTGTGTTTATATTGTGTTTGGCCAATACATTTGAAATTACCCAAACAAAAACTTAACGATGACATGAGAACTTGGGCCAATAACAAAGAAGTCTTTATTTAGATTTCAAGGATATGTGAAGAGCATATAGTGTATAGGACATATACAAACCATCTGGTGTTTTTTTTGTTGTTTTTTTTGTTTTTTTTCAGTTACCAAATTGAAAAGTGCACAGACCATTTGGAATTAGAGATCCAACTTTCTGATATTCTGAAATATAGGTATCTTTATACCTTCCTTTTTTTTTTTTACCTATAATGTATTTACTTATTAAATCAATAATATCTAAGGAGAGCCTATTAAATGCCACATAGTATACTAGGCAGTGGGGATATAATGAATGAAGTACAGCCTCTGTCCTCATAGAAATTGCTAACATTTCTTAGATTTTTCAAATAGCTTTGCAATTCTTACTCAATGATGAGTTGATAGTTGTATATTTATCATCCCTCATTCAACATCTTTACTGTCTTTTCTTTTATAAAATTAGGTTAAATATTAAACGTCCTCCTGGATTTTTCCTCATGGATTTCTGTTTGCAGGAACATCTCTTACCTGGTTTTTCCTATTTCTTCATTAGTCATCTATCGTCTAATGATTGCAGAAGAGCTGGCTCATAAAAATTTCTAACAGATAGTTAAAGCATGGATTTTGCCCACTAAGGATAGAAGTGATCGTCTCTATCATCCCAGAGTTCACCAGGAAAAATATAATATCAGATGAACTGAATTTGAATTTGATTTTGGCAAGTTTATTAGTGAAATTAAATAGATGGAATTTAATATCTGAATTTTAGTAACATTTGAAAAATTCTCCATCAACATTGTATGCATTGAAAAAAATGGTCTATGGATATTCATTCAGTTAAACAGAAAATGGATTAAAAGGAGATCTCCTGCATAGAAGAAGATCTCTAGAAAAGAGCCATCACATTCACTTTATTGCTTCTTTTATCTTTTTATGGTATTTTTCCTTATTACTAAGTGATAGCACAAATTCATGTTCATAACGCTTAAGAGCAAAATCTAGATGAGAGGAAAATAATATTCTGAATAAAGAAATCAATACCTAAAATGTTACTGACAACTTGTATTTGAGACCAAATGTTATTGAGAATGTGCATTTAGTAGTAGCCTAGATAAAAAGTTAGGGGGTTTGATTAAAAATAAGCATCCAGGGCACCTAGTTGACTCAGTCGGTTAAGCCTCTGACTTGATTTCAGCTCAGGTCATGATTTCAGGTCCTGAGATTGAGTCCTGCATCGACTCCACCTTCAGCTGAGAGTCTGCTTGGGATTCTCTCTCTCCCTCTGCCTTTGCCCCTCTCCCCACTTGTATGCGTGCATGCACTCGCACGCTGTCTCTCTCTCTCTCTCTGTCAAAATAAATAAATAAAATCTTAAAAAAAAGCATCCAAAACCCATAAATGAAATAATGAGCAGCTTAAGTGAGTAACGTAAACCTGGATGTGTTTTCAGTAGAGACTATTGTCTACATTGAATTAAGGGAATAGTGCTTTTGTTTTTTAACCAAGGGGGATATACAGAGGTATTCAATTTAGTTCTAAGCATCACTTTGTTCATAAAATGAGTGATGCATTCAAATGGAATGAGTAGAAAGAGGAGAGTCACAACCTGCAGCTTGTTTAGCATGCAAAAGAACAAAAAAGTCTCTCAAAAATAGGCAGATGCAGTTTTCTAAGACTTGAAATTCTATCACAGAGAAAGAAATTCAGACAAATTTTAAACGATCTATGAATAAGAGGACTACCAGTGGGTGGATATTAAAAGGAAACATTTTGGTGTTGAAATGTTCTACCAATCCTTTCTGACTATGCAATGACCTACCTCAGGAGACTGTGATTTTCCCTTCACTAGAGGCTTTTTGGCAACACCTACCAGTCATTTAGCAGGGCTGAGATGGGTGACTTTCCCCACAAGGTGGCCATTAAAGCACCTCTGAGTCTCAAATCTATAGGGTGCTATGAAACATGTGCCTACTGTTTATTGGACTACTTTAATTGTACTAAACATACTAATTTATAAATTCCATTTTATGTTTCTAGTACCTGTAGTCTAATCCTATTTTTTTTGTTGTTGTTGACTGCCAGGAGAGTAACTGGCTGCCTGTCATAAATGCAAATTTCCGTAATTCTAGAAGTGATTGTTTATCTAAATAAATACTTTCAAGGTTATTGAAGCAGTTTAACCTTGAAGTTAAAAAATCCTCATGACTCTGTGAATAATATGAATTTGCTTATCAAGATTCTTTTCAAGGTCATCTAACCTTATTTAAGTATTCCAAATAGATCAAATTTCATTGTTAAATTTCATCATCCTTACAGTTAATTGCAGACTATTATGAAGGCTTTCCAGTATATTTTTAAAATATTTTATCTGAATTGATATATCTGTATTACTGTAACATAATATGTAATAATCTTTCATGGAATATCAGTATAGAAAATAATTTAGAGATCTGTTCCAATATCTCACATGATAGATAAAGAAATTTAGGAACAAAATAGAAAAGGTGATGATATACAACAGTTGATATTAATAAATAATCAAATAAAACAGGCCCAATTACAAATTTTAACCTTGCCTCATTAAGTTTTATTTTAGTTGAAGATTTTATTTTTTGTTAATTTTTTTATTTTAATTGAATTGCAACACCTTAGAGTTAGAGGTAAAAAAGTTTTTAGATGGTGTGTAAGTAATACTGATTAGTAATAAATAATTAGTGATAAAATAATTTTGAGGCCCTAGGTGGCTCAGTCAGTTAAGTGTCTAACTCTTGATTTTGGCTCCGGTCATGATTTTACGGTCATGAGATGAAGCCCGGCATTGGGTTCCACTCTCAGCATGGAGTCTGCTTGTCCCTCTCCCTGTGCTCTTCCCCCTGCTTGCTCGAGCGTGCTCTCTCTCTCTCTCTCAAATAAATAAATAAACAAAATCTTAAAAAAATAATAATCTTGACCAGTTACAGTTAAATATAGATATTACGGCTTATATCTCAGAACCTATTTTGTATTAAATCTCTTTTGGATTAACTACCAAAGAAAATGCTTTCTAATTTTATTTAAGAAATAATTTTTAAAAGTCAAAAAAAACCCCCACACATACACAGATTTTTCTGTGATTTCAGAACCATTCATATTTAATATTTACACAACCATTTTGTAAGAAGCACACCATAATACTAAGAAAACACCCTGACAATAATTTTAGGCTTTGACAACCAAACAGGACATCTGCTGGTTGAACACAGAAAGAATTCATAATATATTTTTTTCTTTTTTATCCTCTGGGCATTTTTTTCTCCTTCCAGCAAGCATGCCAAGAAAATTTTTTCTCTTTTATATTCTAGTTTCATTTTTATGCAACATTGTCCCAGTTTAAATCTTTTTAGGCTAAATGACCTAGAACTACATTCATTATCTAAACTAGCAGATAATTTTTAGACACATTATGTATATGGATCTTGGATTTTAAAATATTTTAAAAATATACATAGAAAATTATTTAACTGTTTAATTTTTAAATAGAATTTATATAAAAATATATTTACTCTATTTTGCAAATAATTTTTGAAAAATGATTAAATTGAGATTTTAAAATATGATTTTATGCATAAGCTAAAAGTTCAAGATATAGTAAGAAGCTATGACATGTCACTTTCCTAGTCTAAGAATGTTGAAGTATAACAAATTTTTCTCGGATGCTTCTCTAAGCTTGCAAGCAAGAAGGAATTATTCCTTGAGGGTCAAAAAGCACAGAACTGAAAACCCAACACTGAATAAGAGTATAGGGAAGGAAGGAGTGTTGTTGGTCATTGTACCCTTAGGAGTACAATTTTAGGTCCATAGGAGATGAGGTTAATGGGCCAGTGC